GAGGGGTCCCGGACTATGAGAGGGCACAGGCCAGGGTGAGGGATCCCCCTGCCGAGTGCACAAATTTTTGTGCACCGGGCCTCTAGTTAAAAATAAAAAGAAGCAGAGAGATTGACAGCATCAGTAAAGCAGCCTGGGTCATAGAGATCTACTAGAGCAGCAGTGGGGTCAACCTGTGGGGTCGCAACCCCTTTGGGGGTCGAACAACCCTTTCACAGAGGTCACCTAAGACCATCAGAAAACACATATAGAATTACATATTGTTTTTGTGATTAATCACTATGCTTTAATTATGTTAAATTTGTAACAATGAAAATACATCCTGCATATCAGATATTTACATTAGGATTCATAACAGTAGCAAAATTACAGTTATGAAGTAGCAACAAAAATGGTCGGGGGTCACCACAACATGAGGAACTGTATTAAAGGGTTGCAGCATTAGGAAGGTTGAGAGTTTGGATGTACTAGAGAGTTTGGATGATCATAAGTCTGTGGAGAGCCAGTGAAGGGTTTTTCAGCAGGGGAGTAAGATGCTTAAATGTGCATTAAAAAAAAAGTCTAAGGGCAAAGGAAAAATTAACAGGATGAAAGAGGAAAGGAAACAGTGGAAACTAGGACTTGGGAGACTACAGTTAAATGAAAAATAATGACAGCCTGAATTTAAGTTGATGGCAGAGGGAATAGAAACAGCTAGGGAGGGTGGGAGGAGGATCAGAGATATTTAGGAAGAGAAATAAGACTGTGGCCAAATATAATAGAAATGGAGGAGTCAAGTATGACTTTCAAGTTTTTGGCTACAGTAATTAGATAAATGCTGGTGCCCATGTATTAAGACAGTGGGAAAATGAGTTCAGGGTAAACATCTTGAGAACGAGGAGAAAATGTTAAATAGGCATTTAGAAATACAGCTTTGAATACCTGATTAGGTCAGGTTGTAGATATATTCTTTTTTTTTTTTTTAAATATATTTTATTGATTTTTTACAGAGAGGAAGGGAGAGAGAGATAGAGAGTTAGAAACATCGATGAGAGAGAAACATCAACCAGCTGCCTCCTGCACACCTCCCACTGGGGATGTGCCCGCAACCCAGGTACATGCCCTTGACCGGCATCGAACCTGGGACCTTTCAGTCCGCAGGCCGACGCTCTATCCACTGAGCCAAACCGGTTTCGGCTGTAGATATATTCTTTACTGTTCAGATGGTATTTGAAACTTTTGGTTTCATTAGATAAATGTGTACAGCAATGTAGGCTTGTTTACAACATACTTTTTCATGCCTTACCCTCACCTAATGACTTGGACTCTTTGGAATTAATCCTAGGAATCTCAGTTGGTTTCCCAGGAAATTCTTATTTACTCTAAAATTTTACAGTCACTGGCTATAAAGTGAAAAAGAGTGTCAAGTACAGAACCCCAGGGTTATATCCAAATTATTTATGGTACTGATCAAAAGATAATAAAATATTTTGTTTTAAAAAATTTGAAAAAATTTGAAAAAATAAAAAAAAAATTTGAAGTTAACAGTCTATTTTAGTATAGATTAAAGATTTATAGTTAAAATAGACAGGTAAGCCTCAAAATGGCTGGACTATAGTAGCCATTTACCTTTCTCTTTTTAAAAATTATTTCTAAATCAGAAAAAAATTGTCTTTGGGACCAAGCAAAATGTTAAATAACAAATGTGCAATGAAAGGGTCCATATCTAGCTCAGCATGTGACAACTCCCAGAATGGCTATGCTAAGTGTCAAGCTGAGTACTTTTCCTAAGTAAAATGAGTAATTCCTTCAAAACAAACCTTAAGAGGGGATAGTATAGTCTTGCGTTGACTCTATAATTTTGCTTTGTGCATTTCATGGTGAGAAACAGCTTTTACATAAAATAAAGTGATAATACTAATAACACAACTGTCAAATATTTAATTAACAAGTAAAATGTTAAAACCAGGACTAGGACTATGGATTACAATGCTCAACTCTGCTCAAATCAGTCATATTTCTAAAATTAGACAACCTATACGTTGATTTAGTAGCTTGATTTTTAAATAGAAATTTCCTATTTCTCCTCTGTGATTTACAGCCAGTTTATACTTCAATACAAAATATTATGAAGATACTGAGTACTGTACAGTAACCACTGCCCAAAGAACAACTCAGGCTTGTATAACAAACTATTTTGTTCTGTATTAAAATAATAAAATAGCCATCTTTTAACTCTGAAAAGCTTCAAAAGGCACCCATATGATTAGAAGCACGACATTTGTTTAATTACCGTGAGCTCGAAGTAAAGCTTCAGCAGTAAACAGTGGAGCTTGGAGCATGTCTGCAGTTTCCACAATAAGCATATCCTTCAATCTACGAAGATCCTGAGGCCTTAATCCTTCATATGGCTTTGAAAAGACGGAAAAAGAAGTTACTCTTAGGAAGTTCAAAATGCCTATAAACAAATAAAAGATTATTATTTATTTCAGTTTCAGTTTGGTTATGTAAGTTCAAAAGGTTCCGTTTTCCCCCCCACTATTTCAAACT